GCAGTGCGCAGTGCGCCTGCGCGCCGGTGCCCGCGCCCCAGAAACCGCCGGCTTCAGAACGTCTCAGCCCGTTGTTGCCAACGGTCTCTCCTCGAATAAACCCCAGACCGACCAGTGCGCAGGTGCTACGGCCCTCAGCGTCCCAGCCGCTCGGTTCCGAAGCCCTGGGCGCTTCCTGGTCCGGAGTTTCTCGGGTCGCGCTTCCGCGCAGTGCGCCTGCGCGCCGGTGCCCGCGCCCCAGAAACCGCCGGCTTCAGAACGTCTCAGCCCGTTGTTGCCAACGGTCTCTCCTCGAATAAACCCCAGACCGACCAGTGCGCAGGTGCTACGGCCCTCAGCGTCCCAGCCGCTCGGTTCCGAAGCCCTGGGCGCTTCCTGGTCCGGAGTTTCTCGGGTCGCGCTTCCGCTTCCGCAGCCCCCGCTCCTCTCTGCCTTAGGTTCTAGGCCCAGCACCCCCTCCGGGCTTTCGCCTGGGCTCGCGCGGGAGCTTTGTTTCCACTCGGTTTCCTCGCGACGTCGCCTCGCCGCCTGGGGTGACCTCAGTCCTCCTCCCGCCATCCGTGTCACTGTCGCCGGTTGTTTCACTAAGCCTCCGCGAGCAGCGTCACTGGCAGGGTTCTCCTGGACCTCGTCATCATTCAGCCCATGTGGTTCTGAGTGGTTTTCCCACTTCGTGGCCTCCTCCCTGCGCCTTGTGGAGGCGCCCTGTAAAAACTGGATGAGAAAATGTGTGCCAGAGCTAACTTCCAGATTGATGTTCTTCATCTCAGGACCGTTGTTTGGACCCATGTTTTGAATGTATTGTTCTAGTTGTTACTTTTTTCCCCCCCTGTACTGGGGGTTGAACTCAGGGCCTTTGCACTGAGCCACATCCCTAGCCTTTTTTGACATAGGGTCTCCCCAAAAGGTCTCGCTAAAGTGCTCACGCTGGAGTCAAATTTGCAATCCTCCTGCCTCAGCCTCCCAGATTGCCAGAATTACAGGTGTGCACCATCCTGCCCAGCTTCTTCCACAGTTCAAGAAGCCAGTTAGTATTTATTCTTCAAGTCTGTTAGCTTCTATCGACCTTAACTTTGGTCCATTCCAGTTGCATTCCCTGATCTACACCTGTACTGATAGGGTTTTTCAGCTCTGTCGTGGCTCCTGCTGTACATGGTGTTGGATGGCCCTTGTGTCAGCTAGCTAGTGCTGTGTGACAACACCTCAGTGTCCGGCAACACGTTCATGGCTTGAAGTTTAGTGAAGCGGTTCCGCTCCAGCATCTCACCGCGTAACAAAAGGCCAGCACACTGGTTGCCTCCCATCTGCCCCATCCATTGGACGAAGCAAGCCACGCGGTCAAACCACCATCGGGATAGGTGCACCTGCTCCTCGCACTCTGGGTGGAAAAGTACCTACCTCGCAGAGGCAGGGTGCGGGGCAATATATACTGCACATTCTAGTTTGCCAGGGTCCTTAGCTCCTCTGCTCGGGCTTGCCAGTCTTCCCTTGTAATCTTTGTGGTTTTATCACAAAGTACACTCAGGTTCCATACATTTACAGCTTGAGGTGACTGTGAGTGTTTATATCGGGTTTCTCCGGAGACACGGAATCATTCACAGATGAATAGAAAAGTGGTTTATTACGAGGAATCGGTCTACATGGTGTGGACATTGTGAAGTCCCACGGGGCCCAGAAGGCCCATGGTGTAGTCCAGTCCACAACCGAAGGGCAGAGACTCAGGAGACTCGATGATTTAAACCCAGTGTAACTCAGAGGCTCTAGAGCAGAAGTGAGAGGGAGAAGCTGGTGGTCCAGCGAAGGCAGCCTGCCCGGCCCCGCCCCTTCCTGTTCTGGGTGGGTCCTCATTCGTTACCCACCCTGGTGCCTGCCCACACTGATGAGGATAGGTTTTATCAAATGCTAATCTCTTCCAGAGACACTCTCACAGATGCCTGCAGAAATCGCGTTTTATGAGCTCTCTGGGCAAGCCTTGACAAATCACATGGACACCTAAAATTAACCATCAAGTGACATACGGCTTTTTTTTTTTTTTTT